CCCCCCCCAAATGAAATCTAAAATTGTTCCTTCATCTCTCGAATGTTGCATTGTAGAATCAAAGATGGTACATAAGTACTACAAGTCCCTATCATAATCCAATGCCAATATCAAATTCTTAACCCAACAAAATATCTGGTAAATCTTTAACTATCACATCCTGGAACTTGAACCCACTAGAACCATTCTTGAAATCCACCTATTCTGCGCTAGTCCTTGATGCATAGCCAAACATGTTGAACAGCTTGTGCTCGATAGCACAAGATTCTCTAAAAGAATCCACCTCGTCCTTAAGAAATCGAGGGAACCCTTTCTCCGTGCATATTATACCCGCAAAGAATATCAAACCTAAGTAATTCAACAGTCTCCACATATAACAAAGTGCAGTACATCACACATCCAGCAGTTTCCTTGCCTAAGTCATCCTCGATGTCACCCTTCCCAAGTCATAACTAATCCACAAGCGTACTTCAGTCCAGGAACTATAACATGACATGTCCATATCATCTTATCGTCGATGGTAGACTCCCCCACTTGGCTCAACCCCATAATCACATTATCCGAGAACCTATAATAACTTTTTCTCCTTAACTACCATGAACTCGTTGTGTTACTCAATTGAATTTATCATATGCTCATATGGTACTAATAATATATCTTCCAAATGCATACTCATTGTCACGACCCAAAATACCGCCGAAGCCATGATGGCGCCTAACACTGCTTGATAGAGAAGCCAACAACAAATATGCGGATAAACTTCAACAACTGAAATAAATGATTTTAAATAGTAGAATAGCATAAATAATTGAAGTCCAATGACAATACAACTGAAACCACACAAAATGTGGTGTCACCGAGTGCATGATCTCTATAGCATACTAACTACAATGTCTGAACAAAATACAGTAATGTCTGGAAGACTAAATAGTAATAACATAAGATAAAGGAAGGGACTTTAAGGCCTACGAACAGAACAGCAGTGCTACCTCGAATCTCAAAGAAAATCCAGATAATAGCTCTCTAGCAACCACTACTACTAGCGACACCTGGATCTGCACATGAAATACAAATTGTAGTATGAGTACAACCGACCCCGTGAACTTAGTAAGTGTCACGCCCCAAACTCGGGGAGCGTGACCGGCGCTCAACCGAGTGAACCCGGTCAAGCAAGCCTATTAGATATTCTACTACCCAAACTCATCCATGAATAAAGAGAATACATAATTTTGTTAATTAGACAATAAGGTGATCATGTCTATAATACCAATTCATTACCAATAGTTTTATCATTTTAGAGTCTCAAATGGAACAAGTAATACAACCACAACATAACATAGTTTGACTTTCCCAACACCAATACACAACCCACACTACGTCTATGGAGCCTCTATTGATAAAGAAGAGTACTATGATAATGCCGGCAACAAGGCCTCGGCTATACCTTAAACACAACACACAAGGAACAAAAGATACAGGACCCCGGAATGAAGTGGGGCTCACTAAGTCAGTTGGGAAGAGGGTGTACCGCTATCACTGATCAGTGTCTCCTGTTGTGGAACCACCTGCATCCATTAAAGATGCAGCGCCCCCGGCAAAAGGAACGTTAGTACATATGGAATAGTACTAGTATGAATGACAAAACATCCTCTCAATAGAATGATAATTACATGAGCAAGTACAATCATAATATCAGTGGAAGCCTCAAACAACAATAAAACCTCAAATTAGGATCAAGACAATATTCAAATAAGTTTCCATATTTTAAGTTGAAAGGTCTTTAATACCAATATGCCACTGTTCACGATACCAATATTCACAATACCAATACCACCGTACTTTTAGTAAGGAGTCTGATCACGACCCGATCGGCTAGGCCATCTCATTAGAGACATCAACCACAATAATAATTTCTAGCACAATCACCACCATGTGTGCGGCATGGCATTCGATCACGACCCGATCGGCTAGGCTGTCTCATTCAAGACATCAACTTTTTTATACCAATCATCTCATTTCATACTTCTTTCACATCTTTTCATTTCATTGGCACTAGTGGCCACAATTATAAAATTATTCTTGGAACGTTGGTCGTATTTAGTATTCCATGCTCATTTTTTTTATTTTCAAACATCATCATCATCCTCAATAACAAAGCATTACAAATCAAAGTTTTTAGTACACATGTGAGAAATTAAGAGTCTTAAGCACCTAGAGATTTTTTTCACAAGATTTGGCATAATAGCTACTTGAAGTCACATCATTATTAATGCACAGCTCATACTTTAAACATATTCTCAATTGATAACATAACATGATAAAAGTATTTTGGGATACATATTGAACATATATCTTTCAACACAAGCTTATTCGGAATAGTCACTTTCATAATGAACAATTCGGGACTTACATAAATCACATGAATACCGTGGGATTCAATTCTAGGAGAGGAGTTAGCCAACATACCTCAATTGAGCTTCCTTAAACTCTAAAATATTAAGGAATTCTTAGCAACTTTAATCTATTTTAGAAATATAACAAATTGAACTAAGATTAGGAGGATGATCATGGTTCTAGCTCATTTGAGCATTTTATCAAACGCTAAGTGTGCATTAAGGTTTCAAGGTCTTTTTATGGAGGATTCCATCATCCCACAACCCATTCTTTACCATTTTTAGCTCACAATCTTCCTACACCCTTTGATAACACAACAACAACAACAACAACAACATACTCAGTATAATACCATGGGTGGTGTCTGGGGAGGGTAGTGAGTACGCAGACCTTACCCCTACCTGGAGAGGTAGAGAGGCTGTTTTCGATAGACCCTCGGCTCAAGAAAAGGTGGAAAGGAAGAATAGAGGAGAAGAAGAGGAGGGAAAAGGGGGGAGAAAGGCGATAAGCAAAGAGAAGAAAAAGTAGCATCAAATAGTAGCCACCAGGGAGCAACAATATCCAGTAAAAGAGGAGAAAAGGTATCATCAAATAGTAACAATCAGAGAGCAACAATCCCACTAGCAATATACAAAAACAAAGGAAGTGGTTGCAAAGTACCAGATACAATAAAAACCTATAAGGAAGTAACTTTCAACCCACAGCAAGAATATTACTAGTGCTACTGGTGAATCTGTGAAAAACTCGCAACTACCTGTCAACCCACCACCTTAATCCTCGACCTCTACACTTTTCTATTGCTAGTCATGTCCTCGGTTAGGTAAAGCACCGATATGTCCTGCCTAATCACCTCTCCCCAATACTTCTTAGGCCTACCCCTGCCCTTCCTCAAGCCCGCCATAGTCAACCTCTCACACCTTCTGACCGGGGCATCTATATCTCTCCTCTTCACATGCCCAAACCATCGCAGCCTCGATTCCCGTAACTTAGCTTCCACGGGTGCCACTCCTACCTTGTCCCTAATAACTTCATTCCTGATCTTGTCTTTCCTAGTATGACCACACATCCATCTCAACATCCTCATTTCTGCTACGCTCATCTTTTGGACATAAGACTTCTTGACGGGCCAACACTCAGCTCCATACAACATAGTTGGTCTAACCACCACCCTGTATAATTTTCCCTTAAGTCTAGGTGGTACATTCTTATCACATAAAACCCCCAAATCTAGCTTTCATCTCATCCAACCTGCTCCAGTGTAGTGAGTAACATCCTTGTCAATTTTCCCGTTGCCTTGGATTATAGACCCAAGATACTTGAAAATATCTCTTGTGTGAATGACTTGAGTATCAATCTTAACTTCTACTTCTTCTGCATGCCTCTCCTCACTAAACTTGCACTCCAAGTATTCAGTTTTCGACCTATTCAACTTGAAACCTTTGGATTCTAACGTCTGTCTCCAAACTTCCAACAGAGCATTAACACCCCCTAGCGTCCCGTCAATTAGTAATATATCATCAGCAAATAACATGCATCATGGCACCCTCCCTTGTATGTGATGTGTCAAGACATCTAATGCTAGTGCAAGCAAAAACGAGCTAAGGGCTGATCCCTGATGTAGCCCCATCTCCACTGGGAAATGTTTCGAGTCTCCTCCCGCAGTCCTCGCCCGAGTCTTAGCGCCATCGTACATGTCCTTAATCACCCTAATGTATGCTACCAGGACTCCGCTAACCTCCAAACACCTCCATAGCACCTCCCTCAGGACTCTGTCATAAGCCTTCTCAAGGTCAATGAACACCATGTGCAAGTCCTTTTTCCTCTCCCTATACTGCTCCACCAATCATCTCACAAGGTGAATGGCTTCTGTGGTTGACCGTCCCAGCATAAATCCGAACTGGTTCTCCAATATAGATACACCTGTCCTCACTCTCTTCTCCACCACCCTCTTCCAAACGTTCATAGTGTGACTCAGCAGCTTGATACCCCTATAATTGTTGCAGTTCTGGATATTACCTTTGTTTTGTACAACGGAATCATCAAACTCCACCTCCAATCTTCGGGCATCTTCTTCGTCTTGAAAATGACGTTAAACGAGCTAGTAAGCCAATCCATGCCTACCCTACCCGCTTCTTTCCAAAATTTCACTGGGATCTCGTCAGGCCCAGTCGCCTTACCCCTGCTCATCTTCCGTATAGCCACATCAACCTCCTCACAACTAATACGCCTACAAAACCCAAAATCTCTCCGACTCTCTGAGTTTTCCAACTCACCCAGCACTATGTTCCTATCCCCCTCCTCGTTCAAGAGTCTATGGAAGTACTCCTGCCATCTACGTCTGATACATGCCTCTTCCACCAATACCTTATCGTCTTCGTCTTTGATGCACCTCACTCGATTCAGGTCCCGAGCCTTCCTCTCCCTAATTTTGGCTAACTTGTACAGCTTCCTATCCCCTCCTTTGCCCTCAAGATCCTCATACAATCTTTCAAAAGCTGCAGTCTTGGCCGTCGTAACTGCGAGCTTCATCTCTCTCCTTGCCTTCTTATAGCACTCCCTACATGACCTTCGATCTTCCTCGTCCGTGCTCCCCACTAGCTTCAGATACGCCGCTTTCTTAGCTTCCACTTTTCCTTAGACCTCCTCATTCTACCACCAGTCCCCTTTGTGGCCACCCAAGTAACACTTCAAGACCCCTAGCACCTCCCTAGTAGCTTACCTAATGCAGTTTGTTTTCATGGTCCACATATTACTCGCGTTTCCACTGCTCCTCCAGGCCCTCATAGCCAACTGTTTCTCCCCCAACTCTTGAGCCTTTCCCTTAGTCAAAGCTCCCCACTTGATCTTAGGTTGTCCGTACACCGCTCTCTTCTTCTGTACTCCCTTAACCTCCAAATCCATTATAGAAGCCTATGTTGCGTCGACAGACACTCCCTCGGGATAACCTTGCAATCCTTACACATACCTTTATCACCTCTCCTGAGGAGAAGATAATCAATCTGAGTCTTGGCAACCCTACTCCGGAAAGTGACCAGGTGATCCTCCCTCTTCTGAAAACCCGTGTTAGCTAGCACCAAATCAAAAGCTTTAGCAAACTCCAACAATGAAGTACCGCCCTCGTTCCTAGCCCTAAAATAGAACCCGCCATGCACCTCATCATAACCCCTAGCCGTCTCCCCAACATGACTACTAAAGTCACCCCCTATGAAAATCTTCTCAGACTGCGGGATACCACGCACAACTACGTCTAAATCCTAACAAAAGCACCTTTTGACCTCCTCGCTCAGTTTCGATTGACGCGCGTAAGCACTAATCACGTTAAAAGTGAACCCATTAACCACTAGCTTAATAATCAACAGCCTATCATTCACCCTTCTAACATCCACCACTAACTCCCTAAGGTCCCTATCAACTAAAATGCCTACCTTGTTCTTACCTCCAACAACCCTCGAATACCATAGCTTATACCCATTAACATCCCGAGCCTTCGTACCCCCCATCTAGTCTCCTGGACACATGCTATATTAATCTTCCTCTTCTAGAGAATCTTCCCCAACTCTATCGACTTACCCGTCAGTGTCCCTATGTTCCAGGATCCAATTCTCAACCTTATGTAATCCTTACTCCCCTTGACACCCTTGCCCCTCGCCCCCCTGATCCACCCGAGGACATGACCTTACACTGCCATCGCTCAGAATAGCCACTACACCAGCAAAAATATAGGGATATAGACTAAGCCTAGACTACTACAAATGCAGATGAGCAGGCGAAGCGTAAAACAAGCAAAGCCTAAATATAAGCTGAAATGTAATGTAACTAGGGCATGCAAAAAATAGGAATGAAATAGGAATGATACAACTAATGGCAGATAAATGTAGGCAAGCCGAAGGAAATACAATACTCAAGGATAAAAGGCAATCGACAAAATAATAACAAATAGCAAATTCTAAGCAAGAACGATAGAACCTGGAGTCCCAACGGGTGCCGAGAGAGGTGTTGTCCACAGTAGCTATGTTCTGGAAGCTCCCGGGCGCGTTGCCCGAGGGCTGGCAGAAAATTCTCACCTTGCAAAATCCATGTTGCCGCTGCTAGGTCTAGGAATCCGACCAACAGCACTAAAGAGGAGGTGCAGACAGTAATGGGGGTGTCGCCAAAGCTGCCTACGCCGCTAGGCTAGGGCAATGACGGGAAGAAAGAAAGAAAGAATAAGAGGAAAAGTGCAAGATAAAGAGAACGGGTGAAGAAAGAAGTAGAAGAAACGGGAAAGATACAGAGAACAGGGAGAAGGAAGAAAAAGCAGAAACGGGAAAGCTAGAGAGGCAGAGATAGAGCCAGATCGGGAAAATCAGAGGAGAGAGGAGGGGGAAAAGAAGCAGAAGATTAAAGCAGAGGAAGAAAGAGGCGAAGAGAGAGGAAAAGGAGATAGGGGTGGGGGGCTTACCTGGGTCCGGTGGTGTCAGGTTGTACGCCGGCGACTGGCTGTGTTGGGCGGTGGTGGGGAGTTGGGTCAAAGAGACGTTAGAATTGTCTTGCTAATTATCCATTTTTAGATAAATTTTGAAATTTTGGGCTAGGGTGTAGAATCTTACCTCTAGGATGAAGACCTAGTGAGTTTTCCTTGTTAATCTTCAAAGATTTGAGCAAGAATCGAAAGACAATTTGTTGAAGATCACTTTCCCACTCTATGGCACTCTCTCACTCTCAAAATATCATGTTTTAGCTCAAAACTTACTTAACCCCTCTCTCTACCCGGCCTTGGGATTATTTAATGGGCTTCTATGTGCACGGCCTTACACCTGGGCAAGTGGCCGTGCATCTGGCCGCGCACACAAGGCAGAAACTACCAAATATGCGCGGTCGCGCATCTGGCTGCCCATATGACATAGGTCCAATAAAATGGCCATACCATTCTGTATAAATATCCAAATGACAAATGGTTTGATGCGTTGGAAACTAGACTCAAAGGGCTTTAATTGTATAGGTAGATCACCTCCTAAGTCTTTATAGTTTGGTAGAAGCATGCATTTGAAGTCGGATCTTGTAAGAATTTAGACATCCTTTCCACTTAATATGTCCAACTTGTTCCACACAAATTCTTGCCATTCACAAAACTCCTTAGTATGTTACAACACACCTTAAACACATATTTTTATTTCAAAATGATGTGGTCCTATCCTATAGGTCCCCTTTAATGCTCGAATATGTTATTCCCAAATACAGTTGGCGCACTTTAAAATCTTGAATTATTAGAAAATTTTAACGAGGCCTTATAGTAAGTAGCAAGCCTAATCCCGGTGAAAGTAGTGACGAGGTTGGCAAAGTCTGATGCTCACTTTCAATAGTCAACAACAACAATGATAGAATAATAATGACACATAAGAAAACACAGCACAGATAATAACGGTTCAACTCTAACACAATAAGTGAAGAAATAAGCATGTTTTTTAGGTATATCAGTCAAGGCATTAACCTTTCCATAGAAATCACCTAGACAAGTATTTATCAAGATAAACAGTGATTTCAAGCTATAAACATCAAATAGAGACAACAAAGGTCAATTAGCATGAGAAAATTATGAATCTACGCCTGCATGTCAAATAAACCTACCAAAATCAACAGCATCACAGTTCAATCATCAAGCAAACACAATCTCAGCACAGTCATAGTGCCTGGCATAAGTACCCCTCAATTATGCTCTTAGCACTCTCATGGTGCTTGGTACAATACCTTGAATCATCACACACACACATCATTGTATGGGTGCCTGACATAAGTCTCTTTCTAGGCACATATCGTGTGCCTGCACTCACAAGGCCCAAAGTAACATGGGTTATCACCTAACTCTGGAGGGACGGATCCTAGCCCAGGAGCTGATCGGATCAAAAATTCACCATCAACATCACTAGGCCCAATATAGGGGCCTGACACAAGCGTCACCTCGCTATCAATACACAGCTCTATGGCCCAAGATTAGCAATCAATCCGCTCATTATGGCTTTATGGACCAAAACTAATCATGAATCCTCTCAAGTCTTAATATGTCAACATCTCATAGTGCCGTGATCAAAATACCGCACGGAATATACTGACATGCCACAATTAAGCTCAAACATGTGTCATACACACAACATTAACTATATATAAGATAACATATAAAGAGTGCATAGAGACAAAGATATAACATTCGAATATAATATCATGACTAAAAGATATGACTATTGTTAAGGCAAATAGCTAAACAAAGCAAAAATAGCCATATCATGTCTCAAATAGATAAGTCGATAACTAGACATGATTTCTAACATGAATAATAGCTCACATAGTTATACAAGTGGAGGAAACACGGTATCATGGCGACATGATAGAGAAACAAGGCATATAGTAGCCTAAAGTCTACCCAGATCATGAATAACCACGGTGCACGCATATGTGAGGTGATATGTGATCGTCACCTCAGATATGCATCACCCCCCAACATATAGCAAACATCATAGCATACGGGGAAATACCCTCAAGCCACCCCTAGGCAAGATACTTACCTCGAACAAGCAAGAATCAATACTCCAAGAATTCCTTGCCTTTCAAATTGGCCTGTGAATGGGTCAAATCTAGTCAAAAACAACTCAATAACGTAAGATGGGGCTATAGAAATCAATTCCAAACAATAAAGCTTCAATCCTTATTCAATTCCCAAAAGGTCAATAAAAGTCAACCCGGACCCACATGGTCAAAACCCGAGTCAAGGGGTAGATTCTGACTACCCATAACCTCACGATCCAAATATATGATTAGATTCCAAAACCGAGTTCAAATCGTCTCCCAAATCCCAATTTACACTCTCCAAATATCTCTTTCAAATTCTATAATCTATGTGTAATAATGGGAAAACAAGATATATTATCAAAATCAAGTATGAATCACTTACTCTCTTACCTTGTGTAAAAATCTCCCCACTCAAAGTCTAGGGTTAAAAATTGTCACGACCCCAAATCCCACCAAAGCCGTGACGGTACCTAATACTGCTTGCTAGGAAAATCAACATTCAATATACAGAAATAAACTTCAATAATAATAAGAAATAGTCTCAAAAATGAAATAAAATAAATAAGTAAAGTTAAGATGTCAATATAAATGAATCCACCCCAAGATCTGGTGTCACCAAGTGCATGAGCTCTATAGAATACTGAATACAAGATCTGAATAAAATACAATACTTTCTGGAAGACTGAACAGTAAGAGAATAAGATAAAAGACAGGACTCCAAGTCCTGCGAACGACACAACAGTGCTACCTAGAGATGTCCAAGCTAAACCAGATATAGCTCTTTGGTAACTACCGCTATCAGCAATATCTGGATCTGCACATGAAGTGCAGAGTGTGGTATGAGTACAACCGGCCCCATATACTCAATAAGTAGCACGCCTAACCTTGGGCTGAAAGCAGTGACGAGCTTGGCAAGGTCGATGCTCACTTTCCATAGCCAGCAATAGCAATAAAAACAGAATAATAATATATAAAGAAAAGATGCTCAAATAATATCAGGCTTGCTAAACACAAGAAAATTAGACATGCTTTTCAAATATAACAGTCAAGGCATGAAACTCCACATAATTCACTTAGACAGATATCTGACAAGATAAAAATGCAATATAAAGCTCTAGACATCAAGTAGAGACATCAAATACCAATTAGCACAAGGAATAATACAACTATATGCTTGCATGTCAATTATACATGCCAAATCAACAAAGAATCACAGTTTAAATATCAAGTATACAAAATCTCATCACATTGAGAGTGCCTGGCACACAGTGCCCCTCAATCATAGTCTCAGCACTATCACGGTGCCTGGCAAGATGCCCATGGATCCTCACACAGACACATATATACACTCCCAGCAC